CCCCCCCCACCAGGAAGAGGTTGACACCACTACTGCCTGCCAGCGCTGCTGGGGCTAATCTCCATGGAAACCCCAGCCCTGCACTATCCCTGCTGCTGGGGTCTCCATGGAAGCTGGCCCCAGCCACGTGGGCAGGGGCTGCTGGGAAATGGAGTCCACTGACAGCCAGACTTTGCCTGCCCCTGATCTAACATGTAGGAGACAGAAGTGTTCCAGCGGGCTTTACTCTGAGAAGACAAGCAGGAGGCAGGATTTTTATGAAGATGCCTCATTTCCTCAAATTGGTATGGCACCCTGGACATCCTTGCTGCAGGCTCATGGCTGAGCTAACTGGTGCCACTGAAGAGTCATGCTAGATCAAGAACCAGGACCAAGGAATGGCACCTTCTCAGTCTCCCTTCATTCCCTGAATTCAACTGGCAATGGGCTAGAGCAATTACACCTGGTACAGGGAAGAGAGAATTCCTGGTGTTGCCTCAAACTACCTTCTTTCACAAACACTGCAGGATCAACCGCAGTAGCACGAGAACCATTTGCTGCTCAGACCTCTCTCTACAGGCCTAGCTGGATGTAAGAGTAGGTGCTGCAGACTCCTGCCTAACCCAGCTGAAATGCAGTCCTTCCTGTGTACCGCAGGCCTAGAACCCCTTCCCCCGGCTGCTGCAGAGTCTCTTTCTCTGGCCTAGATAAGTGCAATCCTGACTTGCTCAGTCCATCCTGCACACAGCTGGAAAGATGATTCTCTCAGGCCATATCACATCCCACTATGCACTTCTCCAGACTCCCCCTTGCCTAGTCCAGACCACACATCGTCTCTCTCAAAGCCCCTCAGGATTCACGCTCACCCACTGCACAGCTCATTCAATGCTGTTCAGCTCAGGAGTTAGCTGCACACCCCAAGACGGCATCTTAGGCTGTCAAACAAACACACGCTCCAGCCCCCTCCAGGTGGGGAGCACCCCTTGTAAACATCCCCCTTCACTCTCTCCTTTATCAAGATCCCCGCAGGCTGCTGACCTGCTCTGATTACTGCTGACCAAGGGTTTAACCTTCCCAGCTCTCATGTCTATCTTCTGCCTCTTATCTAACAAGCTAATGGTTCTCTTGAGCAGGGACTGTCTCTGTTCTAGATTCCTATACCAGGGCCAAGACTAGGGGTTCCTAGGCACCACAGTGAAACAACTCAGTAACTACGAAATCCAACTGCCAGTGTAGCATGGATCCTATATGGGTTGCTGACTCGTTCTGGTATGCTCTTTTCTGTTTGCAGTCTCACACTGTACAGCAAAAGCTTTGTTATCTGGCACCCATGAGGAATGGAGGTGCCGGATAACAAAATATGCCAGGTTAACTGGGAGGCCCAAACAAGTGTCTTTGCCTGTTTGGGCTGCCACTTTTCCCGCCACGTTGCAGGCCCTGAGGGACAGGGAGGTGGGCCCTGCGCAGGCTGCAATGCCCTGGGCCGTGGGGGCTTGGCAAAACTGGAAGTGCCATGGGGGGCACGTCCAGTTGCGCTTTTACCTTACAAGCTGCCATCCCAGTTAACGCAGTTTTTACTATAGTTTGGAGAGGGAAAACTTGTTTGCAGAGCTTTGCCAAGACCATGTACTAACTCAGCTGGGAAAGCGGGTGTCTGGTAGTAGAACTGGGAACCAGATTTGCGCTAACCAGCAAGCACACAGTAGAGGGCCCTGGACACCTACAGATACTGGTCTTGGAGTTCATGTTGCAAGTGACCACGTGTTTTAAGTTTTATTTTTTTGGAGAAAGATTCCCATGTTTCAGGGCCTACATGTCATTCTTCACCTGCTTCTGCCTCAGTGCCTTGTGTTCCACCTGCCTCACCTCCCAACTAACCCCAGCCCCTTACTCCTGCGTGGTCTTGTCTTATGACACAGCAACTGCAGTATTTCCCATGCTTTCCTCTCCTAAGGGCTTTTGTGAGCACAGCTGCTTCACCCCTAATGCTAATGTTATCATTTGTTTCTCAGGCAGTAGTCACTAGAGAGCTGCACAGACACCTACAGAGGCAGGCAGACAGGAAACTCTGGCCTTGCACTGAGCCTATTCATGTCTGGCAACACAGAGGACAACAGTTATTTTACGGATGTCATAGATGAGGTTTGTTACATTAAAGAGGAAACCCCCATAACCTGCTCCCTAAAGCAAACGAGCCATCCGATGTCCCTAAAGCCAACTAGCAGTTCAAGAAAGCCAGCAGGAAGACAAAGTCATCAGTGGATAAGTCATGTGAATTATGACAACATATTCACTTTCCAAGAAGCCGCATCACATTTAACCACTACTTGGCTCCTCTGGGGTCCTGTCCACACCAAAAGCAGAACAATGTTAAAGCACTGCGGGTGGCTAGGGGTTCATTTATGGGTTATCCTCTCATCATTTCTAAAGGCAGTACATTAGCAATCTAAATTCAGGCTAGCAGATATATGTAACTTGGTTATAAAAATGTAGTTCAGGGAATACAAAGATAAGTGGCAACCATATTTGAAAGCAACTTCAAGCCAGGAGCCTGGATGAACTATCACCCCACTATGAATCCTCCACGTGTAGTTTCTGGAGCAGTGGAGGATCATGGAAGTTGCTGCCTTCTTGTGACTAGGCTGGTCTCAACACTCAGACAGCCTGCAAGTCTTTTCCCAACACTTTTCAAATCATCAAACTACAAATAAAGTAATCTCAGACTTGCACTGATATTACACTGAGTGTCGAGAGGCAAACTCACCAACTGCACTGAAAGCAAGCTTTTTTGTTACACTGCAGTCTTTATTATAATTGCTCCCAATATATTTAAACCATAAGATTAAGCCTGCCAAGTTATTCATCACAGCAACCGACCAATCGCTCTTATTCTTACCTGTAATTTACTGTCGCTCTTGCTGCAGACTCTAATAAAGTTAATGGTATTTTTAGCTGTATGCTGGGAACAAGTGGATTAGGCTGCTCAAAGGGGTTTCCAAAGAGATCCAGGTTCTCAAGAGACAGCTTTCTGAAGTCACTGGGTAAAAAAGGGAGCTTATTGCGGGCTGCTGACAGGAAGCGCAGTTGACTTAATTGGCCCATTCTGAATGGCAACCGGATCAACTCGTTGTCATCCAGCTTTAAATGAACGAGCTCTCGCAACTGACAAAACTGGATCGGAAGCGCTTTAATTTTATTCTGGCTGAGGTCCAAGAGCTGGAGAGACTTCTGAAGTGTGGACTTGCACAGAGCCACACTGAAGGACTCCAAGTGATTGTCATGCAGGTGAAGTTCCTGCAGGCAGATGAGGTCACCGATAGTTGCTGGCAACTGTTTGATATGATTGTGGCTCAAATCCAGTTTGAGGAGTTTCTTCAGGCACAGCATGCGCATGTCAACTCGGGCAAGCTTACAATACGAGGCCTGGAGGTGCTCGAGAAAGTACGGGAAGTTCTTGGTGAGCGGGTAATCTTTTCGTGATGTGATGATCATCTTCGTTTTAGGTTTTTCAATTTCTGATGTCTTTGCTGGTACCAGGGCTGCAAGTGGCAGTGCTTCAACATCAGTACCTCGGTGAGCCAGCCTCACAGCTGACAGGAAGTTTTTCAAATGGCTGGCATTCGCCTGCAACAACCAAAGAATAGAACATTTCAGTTTCACACTTTCTGCATTTCTGCTAGCACTTTCTGAACTATTTTGTACACAAGAGCATGTCAGGAGACAGAGTCAGCAGAGTAATGAAAATGGTGAAGGGCTGTTTTGCATTCAGGCTTGTTTTGCATTCTCTATTCACTGTATTCAAGAACAAATGGCATGAAAATGGAATCAAAAGTTCTGACCTCTTTGACTAGGCCAGGCCAAATGAAACCTACTGTATAGCCCAAAAATGAACAGAACACAGAATCTAGCTGAAAAATGAATGCTGGAAAAGGACAGGAAGTCCTAGAAGGGACAAGATAAAATGGCTTTTTGTACAGAAACCTGCACAAGGTCAAAGGGGAGACAAAGATTTAATGCTATGGAGGCAGCAATTTCTGAAGGTCCTAGAAAGAAAAAAGCAGCAGGGCTGGCATGTTGTGTTTAAGCAGAGCGGAGTAACTGAAATAACACTTGTAGAGCAAAGGAGATGCCAAGACAGTTTAAGTCATTGCTCATAGTCATACAAGCAGCCTCTTGTAGAGCCAGGGGTCTTACCATATTTACTCAAATCCAAAATGAGTGCTGTCCCTCCCACTCCCCAATCCACATGAGAAAGAAAGCCCTTCATCTTAGATTCAGAGAAAAAGTGTGTGTGTGTGTGGGGGGGGGGGGGTTGGGGGGGGCAGGCATTTGCTGCAGTTCTGACAACAGCCCTGAGCCTGGGTTAGGGCCAAAGTCAGACCCACAGTATCTGGCTGCCCATCCCACCCCCGGCCCCCACTTACCCTCTGCAGCTTCTGCCCCCGCCTTACTGCCAGGTGCAGCTTGGCTCTGGCTGGATTCCCTCCTGGGCATGGAACACATGGAATTTCCATTTCCTACCCAGCCAATCAGCAGCGTCGATGCTGCTGTGTGACCCAGCGCTGCCATGCCCTGTGCTCCTTGACCTGGGAGGGAACAGAGCCTAAGCAGCATCTGACAGTAAAGGTGGGGGGCAGGAGGGGAAGAGGCAGACCGTGGAGAGCTGGGGGTGGTGGGCACAGGAAGGCTGCAGGGGGAAGCAGTGGAGGGGGATAGATTTAAAACAACTCTCTGGTAATTAGATTCTATACCTGGAAAATTATAATAAATTTATACTTTTTCCATATATAGAACCTAATAACTGG